AGATACAGACCGGACCGCCGGGACTCATCTACGCCAACGGCGTCTACTATGCACCTGTGATCCCCAGCACCATCTGCACGTGCAACTCCACCTGGCTGAGCACGTGATTGGGGCAGCAGGAGCAGCAACAGCAGGAGCAGCAGCCGCAGCAACAGTTCCAACAGCAACAGCAGTGGTCAGAGAATGCATTGGGATCGACGCTCTTGGCTGAAACTGAAACTGAACCACCACTAGAAACAGCACCGATAGCACCACCATCTCAACCACCACCAACATCATCATCACCGTCACCAACAGCACCCGGAACTCAAGTCCAAAATCAGATTAGACCCACGACCATCAGCAGCAGCAGCAGTAGCAGCAGCAGCAGCAGCAACAGCAAGAAAAAGAAGAACAAGGTCAAGACTCAAAGTAAGCAGACAGTAGCGGCAACAGAGAGCAATTGTAACGAAACAGCAACCATGACAAGGACAACCAAGAAGAGCAGCAGGACCAAGCAAAAGGCAGCAGCATCAACAGGAGCAGCAGAAGGATCAGGAGCAGCAGTCACTGAACAAGGAGTAGTGGCCGGCGGAGTCACGGGCAGCTTGGTGCTGACACCTCAGCAGATCAACGGACTGCCCGTCTACAACCAACTGGAGGACGGAGGACGATCGGCGGCGGGCACGTACAGCGGCCAGTTTGCCTACTTCTATCCGCACGACGGCTCGGCGCCCAGTATGTTCCTGCTGGGCGAGGACTCCTACCTCAATGTGACTGAACAGCAGCACCAGCAGCAGCATAATCATCAGTTTGTCTAGGATGTGAAGGAGAAGAACCATGGTCCATGGGTCAAGTTTGCTTGCCTTGTCCTTGGGCACTTTACCATTAGCGTTGATTCATTATTAATTCGGTTGGCTTCTTTCCAATGTTAACTGTATGATCAGAGGTCTATTCACTGTGTTCCTTTTCTATATCCCTAATTCAATGTGACCGGCGACTGTGAAAAGCCTTTCCACGACACACTTGGCACACACACACCCCTTACACACACGCTCCTACTTTAATAATGTAACTATCCCTGAGAGTTTGAACCGCAGACTGAACTTCAGCCGCTGTTAGATGTTGAACAGAGACACCGCCACAATCACTGACCCCCTCTCTCTAAAAAAAAGGACGAAAACGCTTGCGAATCAACAATAATTTGGCTATATTGACCCTTTTACACACAATTTACAACATCCGCGTTGGTTGTGTATTATTCTTTGCCTACGATAACTAAATTTTAATTTGTAAAACCTAAAAAACAAGAAAAAACTAAAAAAAAATTATTAAAAAAAATAATGTAAAGCCAAAATTTATTCTGTTTGCTCGGTCAAAAAACGTTTTCATCTTTTCCAATCTCCTTCAATTTTTTTTGTAATAAAAAAACCCAAAACCCTTAATCAGTAATGTCTTAATTTTGGATTTGCAAACCCACATATGCCCCCACATCAACCATTGTATTTTTTAATAAACAAACAGACACACAAAACCTAAACAAAAAAGAAAAAAAACAAAAACCGTATGCATATGATATAGCCTGTTAATTACGGATTGACCTTTTTGTATGCCAAGTGCAGCAGACGAAGGCGGAGTGTTGGGTTCCAGTCTAGAAATTCCAAGCAACAATCTAATTGCAGGCTGAAATGATAAATTAAAGCGATGATATGTAAATATTAGTCAAATTAAACTGTGGACGAGGAGGATGAGGATGAGGATTAGGATTCGTATGAGTAGAGGATATATTTGTCTAGTTTATCAGAAGTTGCTCAATGAAATTCAATTCACAAAACAAGGAAAAACGAAATTAAACATACAGTAATGTGTAGAAAATTGAAAAAAAAAAGAAAATCTCTAAACGAAAAGAATGAGAAATGTCATATTTTGTAGAATATTTTCGGTGTGTCAGGCAACAGCAACATATGTGCATGATTGATTGATTGATTGATTGATTGATTGAATTGTTAAAACCAGCTGGGTGATAATTTATGAATGATTAACTGATATAACTTTAAAACATAAATATGCTCTAAACAACAAATATTTATAGTTCGAAACGAGATACATCCATCAAGAAATGTTTGCTTATGTGTAAGTCTCCTGTTTGCAATTGCAACAAACAAAAAAAAAATACAACAAGCGACTAAGAAATATATACTTATATGCAACCATAATTATATATTTATATCCACAAGAAATGAAAGACAAATGGTCCACAATACAAAATGAATCGAAGATCGATGGGTTGATGAAGATGAATGATTAGTTTACGATGTTTCCTCTCCGTGTGCATTCTTTGATAACTTTGAGAATTGTCTACCAATTACACACTTTTGTATAATGTTAACCCTGAACTTGTGTTTTTGAATTTATGTATTAACTTTAGTTTAAACATTGTGACATATTCGACAAGGTCCAAAGCCAACGTATTCCAATTTGCGATCTGCAAAACATTTTACTTAGTGCAAACTTTAAAACGAGTTAACCTGATACTGAAACTGAAACCGAAACTCTAAAACTGAATCAAAATCTAATCCAAAAACAGATACAGAAAATTAACAAAAAAAAAACCAACAAACAAACAAATATTGAAGACTATCTGATCTGTCAGAATTCTTTGGTTTTGTCAGCTGCAATGAAATGGTTTATTTTTTATTTGGGTCCCATAGCAAATGCCTGGGCTGGGCGGATTGTGTTTTTACATACAAAAGAATACAATACAATACAATAAAATATATATATTATTTAGCTGTATGTTAGTTGGATAAGCCTGTAGAGAAGTGGACATTTTTTGAAATATCTCTAGCATGTAATCTTAAATTTATACATCTACATATACAGATAAAGATACAAGATACAGATACCAGATATAATTGTAAATTCAAGCAAATCAATCAACAATCCATTGAGATTTGTATATAATATATATACTTAATTATGTATATCTAATTATTATACCAACAAACACACACCCACACACACACACACATAAAACACAAGCAGACACCACACAAGCATACACACCCACACAACAATATATAAATATTACTTACATATTACATTATATATATAATTGATAATAATAATAATGTATCTATATCTATACCATATACAACAATTACCATACATATTACTTCTGTGCGCTTCTTGCGATCTAAGGAATTTCAATAAAAACAAACAAAAATACCTAAAAAGTATAAAACCAGCGAAAAATACAAAAAAATATACAAAAAACAAAAAATATAAATCGGTTTGAGCATTTATCACTCTCGGTTTTTGGACATGGGGACATGGGGGTTTCGAGTTCGAGAAGTTCGTTGGCAGATTCGCCATCCATAACCATAACCAGTTGGCCAATGGAATGGAATGGAATGGTCAACTGTTTCCTCCTTTCCAATTTTATGGCTAACATCTGCCGATTATGACCGAGGAGCAGAGTTGGGGACCCCGCCGAAATGCATCTTGGGAGTGGGGTCTTAAGACAGCCTCAACCTCGACTTCAGCTGAAGAGCTACAACTTCATCTTCATTTTCATTTGCAGCCGGTTGGCTTTCGCTTCTTCTGCTGGTTTCACTTTTTTGTACAATTTAATTCGCATGTGTTTTTTCGGGGTAATTGTATAATTTTTTTTACTACCAAATGCAGCCATCTAGCGTCTGGCTGGAGACTGGTGTTCATGTTATATGACCCGGAGCGGGTCCATGAAGTTGTTGATAAGTGGGAAATATGACAAATACACATGGGCCGCCGGTGAATGGATAGCCATGCGGCAGCGACTTTGTAGTCGGAATCTTGTATATTGGTGATTTATGCATTTTGATTAACGAGCTAATGGCCCAAAGAGTTTTTCGCGTGCCCGAGGAAGATACTAAGCGAGCCAAAAATAGATAACAAGTCTATGCAGATGAGCCAACGGCTTGAAGAGCCACCTGAGCACTTGTTTGGGCTAAAACAGATGGCTAGGAAATGGTTTCTTTTGATTTGTTAAACCACGTTAATTAGCTTGTGTTGTCCTGAAAAAAGCAGCTGCAATTTGTTTGTAAATCATAAAGGCTTCTAGAGTAAAACAGGGCACTAGGTTTTTTGAGCTGCCTTTTCAAATATCAAGTATACGCGCCATGATACCAAAGCTTCGAGTTGTAGGGCAGCCAGATTTTGTCAGCTGTCCTTTAACATTTATTTTACATTTACATATGTATTTTACATATTTGGTATTTTAAATTAATTTTTTAAACATTTTCGTTAGTTATATTAATTTATTTTTTGTTGATTAACTTTTCTAAGCTGTTCAGTTAATAATTTCAAAAATTATCCTTTTTAAAGCCTTTTAAACATGTGATTTTCAGCATTACAAATATTATAGCATACAATTAGGCACTTTTTTTGGGAGTTTTATACACATCGAACATTTATCTTTTCCAATCTAAATTAAATTATAAAATGGTACCAGGAACCAAGAAAATGCATCGAAACTATATTGGATCAGGATTTCTTGTCATGTGTATATTATCTTTTTATTATCGTATTTTATTACGGGGTTTTAAAAATATATTTCAAATATTTGATAAAAATAGGCAACTATGCTCATTGTGATTTAAAATACCAAATATCATAGCTTACACTTAGGCACTTTTTGAGAAGATTTATACACCCAAAATTTCTACTTTCTAAGATAAATTACTAAATGGTATAGAAACTAGGGAAATATATTGAAATTTTATTCGATTAGGATTTCTTACTATATCTTATCTTATTTTTTATCTTTACCTTAAATATTTTCTATTATATTATTGAATCACTTTATTGGATAAGTATTTCTTACCATACCTTATCTTTTTTTTTACCTGATATTATATGGTAGCATTTTGTAATATATTTTTATAAAAATATTTTCCAAAAAAATAGTGAATTTTTCTCATTTCTACTTAGCCACACTGCTCGTAAGTGGCCAAAAGTTTAAAGCTGGGCCGAAAGCTTTCTCCAACTTCAGAGTCGAACGCGTATTTCAGACGAGCGGGTGGCCGAAAAGAAGAAGCAGTGAATCGAGCCGAGATACTGAAGCTTGCAACACACCAAAAACACACACACTCGGACACGGCACACACACACACTTACGGCGGAGTTGAAATCGAACGCGGAGAACACTGAGCGAAACGGGCGATAAAAGTGATAAAGGCTGCTAACTGGAGTTGGAGTTTGATTCATTGATCGACGAATCGAGTGCGTAAAGCTTGTAAACTTTGGATTGCAAAGATACACACACGCATACAGACGCAGGCAAACTCACACACACATACAAACAGAGAGTTACCTGAATAACCGCCGCGCCTACCACCGTCGACCAACTACCGCGTTTTCTTTTATCTCACTTACACCGCCCCCTCCCCCCACCGCCCATCGCCCCCTTTGCCCGCTTAACGGTCTACGGAGTATCTGTGTGCGTACGCAGTATCTGTGTTTGCCCACGCTAGCGTCTGTGTATGTGTGTTGTCTTTTGGTGTTTTCATTTCGAAAAAGTTGTGTGTGCATTTTAAGAAAAAAACAAAAAAATATAAAAAAGAAAAAAAAAGAAGCAGGTGAAACAAGGTCTTGATTATACAACAGCAAGTATTTTGATTTTATTTGTGGCAAGCAAAAAGCGTTCTTTTATTACGGAGAGGGTGAATATAAACACAAATACACAAGCAATTACGAGGAGACACGCGCACACACTCACAAAATAAAAGCAAAAAAAAAAAATAAAAGAAAAAGAAAAGTGGAATAACCTTCAAGAGCCGAGCTTGTGCAACTTCCACTTCTCAGCTTCGTCGAAGGGCGGCCATACCACTAATTATTTATGATTTCAGTTTAATAGCGCGTTTCGCTTCGTAAAGTTCATTCAGTGACAGGTTTATTCGCTGACAACATTCAACCCGAGCCACCCTACCAAACGCCCCCATTTTCCGAGTATATTTTCCAAACGTTTCCCCAGAACTTTTGTACGTGCTGCAACATCGGCTGCGAATGCATTAGAAATTTATGCGAAAATACATAAATAAACGAGTGGCGAAGCATTTGATTGAGCTGAGTAACCGGACTTGGACCTCAAAAAAGAAAAAACTGGCTTTCACCCCGGGTTCTTTGAATTTTGTGTGCCCTGAATATCTAATATAACTGCAGTTCTCCCTGACGAGTTTCCCGCCCAACAGTCATCAGCTGCATGGGCTTTAATTGCCAGAACAATGTCCAGCTCGGCTCAATTATTAAGCGATATTTAAATTGGCCCGGGAAATCACAATGGGCCATATAATCGCTTCGTAGTTTGCCCTAAATCCCACCAGCCAGGGAAAGTCCTTGAAGTTGGTCTTTAAGTTTCAAATAGGCTGTTAAATATTTACAGCCAGCTCTCAAGGGGGCATTCCATGAATTAACCTAACCATTTTGTGCTTTAGGAACTCTAAAAATTATATAAAAGATACTACTTAAACTGATTAAAGTTCAAGGAACTAGACCTATATTTCGTACCCATTTAAAACTCATTCAAAAAATACCATATCTCTTAAATAGAAAAATATTCCATTAGGTTTTGTCCAACATATTATCTGAATATGCCATGAAAGTTATTATTTTATTCTGAAATACAGCAACATCTTTATGGGAAAGGCAAAGTCCTTGAAGTTGGTCTGTATGTTTATGTTTTGAATAGGCTGTTAAATACTTAAGGGGTCATTCTATAAATTAACTTAATTATCTTGTGCTTTAGGAGCCCTAAAGTCCTAAAATATATAGACTAATTCATTTATTTCTACTTAAACTTATTAAAGATTAAAGAACTAGACCTACTTTTCGTCGAATAGGCTATAAAGTATTTAAAGTATAAATATTTAAAGCCAGTTCTAAAGGGGGCATTCCATGAATTATCTTAACCACCTTGTGCTATAGGAAGTCTAAAAATGATATAAAATATTTAGTACTTAATTTATTCCTCATTAAATTTTAAAAAACTACACCTAATTATGCTGATATTAAAACTCATTAAAGAAATACCATTTCTTTTATAAAGAAATGCATTCCAAAATTTTGTATCCATCTTTTTATCTGAGTGTGCCATAAAAACTATTCTTTCGTACCGAAATTCCAAAAGTTTGGTACTATTTAGTATACTATTTAATAGTTTCTCATACCTTCAAACTCAACTGATGCGGATGAGCTAAAAACCAGATTTAAACTAGTAAATAAATAGATTCCTTAATATATTTTCCCCTTTTAATATTTTTAAATTACTTCTATTACCGTATACATTTGCCCCACTGTGCAGGCCCACTCCATAACCCTCTAACAATTATTAATAAGCGTTTTAGCTCTTGCCGCCACACAATATGTGTGCGCACATAAACATACACTTGTTTGTGGAATTTCCCTAATAGAAATGTAATTTTCCCCCAAACCAGGCGGCTTAATGCCGGAGTTATTGTTCGGGCCAGTTGGCCAGCTTATTGGGGTCATCGAAGTTGGCCAGGCACGACAACAGGAACCTCCCTGAATGACCACCATTGTCAGAGTATTTGACCATTCATTTAATGCTCCAGCAAATGCCATTATATAAATGCAATCGCTTTGGGGTTAGAAGAAGTACAACTAGCTGACTACTGCAGATTATAATTAGTTTTTTCGGGGGGGGATGTGCGACAATTCGACACAATTTAGTGGGAGATAATGCCTGGAAAATTGCTGCAATTTGCCATTAACAATGGCTGCGGGAAATTAATCTCGCTGACGTCAGGCGAGAACTAAAGCCGTGAATCGGATTCGGAATAGTCTAATAGCCAATGATTGGAACGCTATATGGCGACAGCCTTCGAGGTTAGGCCTCGCCTATGACGCATCCGTAGTAAATATAAATATAAACAGTAAATATTTGGACGAAACTGACTTGAAGATACACAAATCGCGGACCGCTTCCCAACTGGCACAGAATTTCTTCTGTTCTTTTTTCCCTGTTTTTTGGGGGATTTTTCGGCTTGTTTTTCTCGGGGCCAGGGATCAGAAGGCAAAGGACAATGCCAACAACCTGCTCATACACCGAAACACACACGGCGTATACTTAATGCATGGAATGTATTCGGTCTTTCGGTTTCGGTCCGTGCCAAGCGCAGCCCAGTTGGTAATGTAATGTAATGCCAATGCTACTTCCAATGCTACTGGAGCTCCTGTAGTTTTACATGCCCCACGACGCCAACTAAAGCCAAGTATTTTGTGTACACCGAAAAAAAAATTGTCATAGAAAAGCAACTATTGTTACATTATTTCCACCCTATTGAGTATCGACTTGGTGTCGGTAAGATGGGTATTAAATTAATATTGAACTGAAACTAATTGACTTAAACATAATACCACAAATCCTAATTACAGACTCTATAATATAGAAATGGAAGTGTAAATTATACTACAGACTATATAGAGAATACCCTTGGTAAACTTTTAGTACAACCGGTTCTAAATCTTAACTTTCTGTTTTTTTTTTGTTGTATATATAATTTTTGTTGTTTTCTAGAGGTATACCTATAAATTCCCGACTCTTTAATATAGAAATATAACTGGAAATTATACTATAGACTCTATATTATATAGTTCTGAATCTATATTTTAATTTCAATACTACTTAAACTGATTAAAGTTCAAGGAACTAGACCTACAACTCATTCAAAAAATACCATATCTTTTAAATAGAAAAATATATTTAAATACAACCCGTACTAAATCCTAACTTTCTGTGTTTTTTTTTGGGTGTATATATATCTTTTTTAGAGGTATTCCTATATATATATTTTTTGGAACTTGGAACCTGCAGAGGCCTTGGCATGTGGGCGACAATTTCGCATTTATTATGCAACAGTTTGGCGGATTGAGCGTGTAGCGTAAACAAACTTGCTGCCAGCATTTTCTGGCCCAAATGAGAAAGGGGGGTGGTGAAGGGGGTGTAGCGTTAAGAGCCCAACAAACCCCAAATGTGATATAAACGAATGGAAAATACCCTAAGAAAAAGGCAGCAGAAATTATAGGCTATATTAGCTTGGAAATACCCCAGAAATTGCATTCAAAATGTATATTTTTAATATTTTTTTTGTAAACATATAGACTTCCACTCTTAAATCAAAGTATAAACTTTGCCTCAATAAGGAAAAATATTCTATTTAAATACCTTTATCTAATCTAATATCAGAGCATGTACTATCCAATCAATAATGTCGCATGTAAGCTTGTATCGAGTCTGCTGTGATGGTAGTATACATTTGTATACAACTGTCAACGATAATTTGTTTTACTTCAACATTTTCTGCAATTTTTTTCAACAAATTATACACCGGTAACCTTCACAGATTTTCGTATCATTGAACCAATATGCGGATGACCCTTGCCCCTGCGATATTTACATTTAAGTTGTTTGCCTCCTGCAACTTTTCACAATTTCCCCAGTAACACCCCCCCCCCCCCCCCCCCATATTTTCCCAGGCGGGGTAAGGTGGAAATCATGTCATGCAGCACAGTTGAAATAATGTAATTGACTCGGGCACGCCAACTGGCAAGACAAATCAAGGCGAGGCGAAGGAAAAGCTGGAAATCAAATGTGCGCCCATTGGACTTTAGCCAGTGGGTGGTGGGCTGTGGGTGTTTGTGGGTGGTGTTGTTGGCCCGGCAGTGATTGCTCAAGCTGAATGCAATCCGAGGAATAACTGCAAAGCCAGTTATCGGCCAGAACCCAGCCTGCCACTTGTCTGCCACACTTGCAACCACATGCTGCAGCTTAAAACGAATCTCTTGGCAGCAGGCAGGAAACATATTTCAGACGTATGGCAGTTGGGGAAGTAAGTGGTTCTGTTTGCAAAGGCAAATAAAAGTAGGTCTACCATCCAGAAAAAAAAACAGTTGAAAACTGTATATATTAACATGTGTACCTTTCATATTAGTCAGGATAACTTTTTGAAACCAACAAAGTTCTATTTGATAAGCTGAAAAAATATTTAAAACTTTAAGAAAACAGTACTATACATTTTCAGAACATTTTTCATAAGGCGTTTAAGCCAATTAAAATAATAATCTTGGGAACTGTTAAATTTGTAATGGCTTCCCGGTATACCAGTATTTATCAAAGTAATGAGCGGTATCCTAAAAATCTATTTCCATAAGCCCACTATTAAATGTTTTTTGGTTAGAGCTAAATATTTTTTTAAAGCCTTTCTAATTTCTTTCTTTAAATATCCAGAATCTTACCTAAAATCAAGAGTTTTAATATCACTACTGATTAGTAAAATTCATTGTTACAATCCTATAGGTCTAGTCCCGCATCTAGCCGCATCCTTAAACTCTTTTTCCATAAGCCCACTATAAAATCATTTTTGTTACCAGCTAAATAATTTTTAAAGCTTTTCTAATATGAACTTTCTGCGAATATCCCAAAACTTATAATAAATCATATATTTTAATATCATGATAGTAGTGTATTATCATGATTAGTAGGGTTAGTCGTATTCCCATGTGAAATTATATTACCATAGATTTTTTGTTGTATGAAAGATAAAGTAAACAAATTCTTGAGATCAGGTTCCAACAATAATTACAGCACTAAACTACAGTTGAAAAGGTGGGCACCTTTAAAAATATTTATTTAATGAGTAAAGCCCTCTAAATAAAAATACCCAAGGGATGAACAATTTTATAGCAATTTTTTTATCACTGTATGTCAACGAAGGTAGCACTTTGTTTATTTGCTCTGTGGATAAACGAGACGGGAAGTGGGTGGTTGGGCGGTGAAGCTAATCAAAAGGCCAACTCAGTCGAGACGTCATTTGCGTTTCAGTTAGCCACTATACCTTACAGCAGAGACAACAGAAACAACCATGAGCAAACAAGCTGTAAAATATTTGTCAATTTTGTTTGCTGGCTAAACCAGTCGAACTTGAATACAGGGTGTACTTTGAACACCGAGAACTAAAAAAAAGGAAAGAAATCTTATGTAAGACCCACGATCAACAAACGATCACGTAAGGCTCTATCACCCCTTCTCCCACTCAAATCTTCTAGAGCCCATTAAGCCCATTTGAATGTGTGGCTAATTGCTATTTTCTAGCTGATCTGGCAATTGAAATGACGCTATAGTGGCTCCATATACGGAATACCTTGAATGGAACTCATTGGCATAATGGAGGCTACAGACCTATCTCTTCTTTCGTTTATAACTTTCTTATCTAGCTGTGTGGGTTTCAGATGCCAATTAAGATTGGCCAGGTTCTTCGAAAACTTTATGAAGTATAAGATTAAAGTTATAAAAAGAAGAATATACTTGAATGATACTACACTTTTTTCCCAAATAGTAAACCAAATAGGGAAAAACATTTTAAGATCATGTTACTAAAATATTATACTGAAAAACTTATAAAACTTATATTTTATTTACCTTAACTGCGAAGTGCGCTTTTGCTTTTAGCTGTTTCAGGAAAAAGAAACTGGTTGTTATCTGTCATAAACAAAGCAATAAATTCGTGTTACTAAAAAACAATATTGCATAAAAAATAGAACACATTTCTCATTTACTGATATAAAACTATTTATAACTCATTAATTAATCGTTTCCTGTCACATTTTATGAGAAATGTTAAAAGTTTCCATAGAGAAACCTTTGTTTTATACTTTTCTTAGTGATATATTATAATAATAATAATAAATATTATAATTATAAACTACTTAAAGTTGATATATACCAAAATATTTTACAGTCAAAAGAAGTACAGATACAACAAAATGTTTATCTATCTATACCTCATAAAGGTGACAAAAATTGGCTAACGACGTTGAGATCAGCTTTTATTTCCATACTAGCCTTCGTTCAAGGCAGATAACATATATTCCCTTCAAATCCAAGCTGTTTACTCAAGTGCTGTGGAAAGTTTTGCATTGTGTGATAGCACCACCACTACCACTCGACCCCTCGACACACATCCATGACAAAAGCCGTGATCTGTGCGGCACTATATATAGTATACCCGCTCGATTCCCAAGGAGCCAATTTGGGTCAGAGCAACCGCCTTTCCGTTTTGAGTTTGGTTTTGTTCTGTCCATTTCTGTTCTATACTGTTCACCAGGAAGTGAAAGGAAACTGAAGGTGCGAAAAGGGGAAAGGGCAAAGGGCAAGGGGCGATGGGCGATAGGTCCAACTGGTGGGCGTGGGAGCCGCCCCCTGGAACGTTTGATATGGCAATTAAGAGCGCAGCTGCAGTTTGCACTTGCCAGCGTTTTTAGTTGCTGTTGTTTTCACCTTTCACTCGGCTCGTGACGCACATCCAGCAGGTGTGGATTCCAGGGAGGAGGGTGCGGCCATGGGGATCCACTGCAGCAGCCCTTACCTCACGACATTCTATAGCCAGAGATGGGAAACACCTAACTGAATTGTACTATCGCAAAATATCCCCTCAAAAACCACAGACGGTTAGCTTAAAATATCACCAAGATGCCAGACCATATTGCATGACTTTTCCATTAATGGATTAAAATGTTTTAGTATTCCCACTAGATATCTTTCGGATTATATTAAATGGCTTATTCCCACTAGCTATCTAAAGAATATTATCTGATAATGGTAGAATAATACATTGTGCTCTAACAAACTCGAAACCTTTCTAGCAAATTGGCACTTCAACCAAGTATTTTCTACATTGTAAATAAGAAAGGTTTTGATATTTAAGTTCAGTATTAGCGAATATTGTATCGTTTATATTTTCCCACCTTAGGGTAAATAATATATTGGATCTCTGGCATCACTGCAGTCCTATCTTACACTCGTTTCCTCCAAAGAATACGTTTCCGCCTTTCCCCTCCGCTTTTTGTGTTTACCCGCGAATTAAGATCTTCCGTCTACGTGATGACAACTAACGATGACAATTGGAATGTAAATATTTATAGATTTCATTCAGTGCCTTCGCATTTAGAACGAACTGAATGGTTTTTTGAAAGATGTTAGGTGTCGCCTGCCTCCACTGATAAAAATTGATAAGAAATGATACTCATTTGTAAGGAATTCTGTACTATTTAATATATTTATAAAAATTAGAAACTTTGTTTTGGAGTGTATTGTATTTAAACATGGTTTTCCATTTCTACTCACAACAGTTTTTACTGTATTTTCAATAAAAATCGAAAAATTACATTTTTCAGTATCATTTTAACAATCTTCAATGGTAAAAAAGAGACATTTACCTGTCAGTATCGAATTCATTTGTCACTCGTTTCTTTCTGTGTCCAGTCGTGATTCATCCGCGGAGTTCTGGGCCCTCGCAGATAACTTTATAAACACCATACCCACGCACACAAGATTGCGCGGGCTAAAACTGGCTAAAGCCGGACAAAGAGTTGATTGTAAACAAATTTGCCGACCAAAATGGGAACGTCGGAGAACAGGTTATGTTTTGGGGGATAACTAAATTTAGCCAGTTACCAGCAATGATTGATTGTCGAATCGAGTGATGTGCATGGAACTTGCCTAATTAGTTTTTTTTTGTTATTTCCACAGAGCAATGCGTCTCGACACGAACTCAAATGTGGACTTCAAAGCATTCGAATCCAGCTCTAGCCCATCTGTAAGTAACCCCAAAGTAGAGTCATTGAAAAGTGTTGCTCATTATACCCCCATTTTATAGCTCATCAAATTGGATAATCTGGCCACCTGGGGTGGCTCACAGAAAACAGACACACGACTGCCGATCACGGACTATTCCAATCTGGGGGGACCCCGGCACAATCGCAGCCCATTCCCCCTGTCCAAAGATGTCAACAATCGCTTTGTAATATGGTAAGAACCCAAGTAAAGGTGTCTTTAATTAAAAACAAAAGATTGCGCTTTATGGCCCACAGTTTGAGTTTGTAATGTCATGAGCCATGACTGTTTTGATGTTCTACAGTTATGTGACAAAGCTGAAATGATACTTATCAGATTTTTGTGGGTAGAGTCGTAAAATTGTAAAAATCAAATGGGTTTCAGTACTAGTTAGTTAAGAATGAAACTATAAACGATGCCTGGTAAATGTTTGAAGTATACATAGTATAACTATAATACATGGAATAAACTTTTTCGATTCTTAATGATTCACGTAATGATCTAAAGATTATCATAATAATATCCACTTACTTAATATATGTATAATATCATTGTTTAAAAAGATTTTTTAACTAGTTATAAATGCACTTGTTAATAATATTATATTTATAATAATTTATTTTTATTTTTTTAGGGATGGTGATATGACCACACTGGATGTGGACGCCATCACAAACACCAGCGATGAGACTCTGACTGAAAGCAATAGCATATCGGAGCGCATCTTCGCCGTGGCTGGCAACCAGCTGCGAGAGGAGCTTAGCACTACTGTTAAGGGTAAGTAGTTGGCTTAAATATCTTTTTTATACAACCCATATACTAAACAAAATCTCTCCGATCTAGAATGCCGCACTGGGGATGTGCGCATCACGCGTGGATACAATCTGCCCGCCAAGTATGTGCTCCATACGGTGGCACCTGCCTACAGGGAAAAGTTCAAGACGGCCGCCGAGAACACGCTACACTGCTGCTACAGGTGAGTCAGAAATACCCGGATGTTTCTTGGCTAAATGTCGGTAAAAAATACTGCTACATAAACTTCTTCAAAACAATCAAATTTTATAAAACTAAGGATATGATTCATGATATTGTCTAACAGCTGTTCTTGAAATGTTTTTACAAAACCCGCTGACTATAAAGACCGTACCAAGTTCTTCAATACATATATACGTGTTTAATCTCTTTTTTTTGGATTTATTTTATTAGTGAGTCAGATTCTAGTAAATTTAAAGTCATAAACAAATATTTTGTAACCCAAAAACAAAAGCAATCTTAAATATATGTAAAACACAACAATAATAGTAATAATACACACTATTTATAGAAATTGTGTACTTTTCAGAAACACTTTAATCGCGTTCTATCAAAATGTAATCTACATCTGTAGAAAACTGTTGTTGATTATGTTGTTATATAGTTTCAATTCGATTTGTAAAGTAATCCCCTCTATATACATACAGAAATGTCCTGTGCAAGGCGAAGGAACTGAACCTGCACACCATCGCCCTTTGCAACATCAGTGCCCACCAGAAGAGCTTTCCAGCGGATGTTGCAGCTCATATTGCCCTGCGTTAGTTCCATATAAATACTTCCATAAGCCATATATTTTACAAAACTGATCATAACTTTCTTATAAACAGGTACAATCCGTCGCTATCTGGACAAGTGCACCCTGCAGGTTGTGATATTGTGCGTGGGCAGCAGCGAGCGTGGCACCTACGAGGTCCTGGCTCCACTGTACTTCCCGAGGGACCAGCTGGAGGAGCGCAGTGCCCTGTGGCAGCTGCCCAAGGATATTGGCGGGGAGTTCGGAGAGCCCCAACATCCGGATCCCGACCGCCAGATACGCATTATCCGCAATCCCCAGCACAGTGTCCACATGCGTCATCGTCTGGGTGAGTAAGCAGGCTGAAAATATGATCCTACGAACTTGATAACGTCAAAACAGAAAACATATATGTATTTCCTATCAAAACAATATTTCTGTTGTGAATATCAAGAACTATTGAGTGCGCAAAAAGTGTGTAGCCCAAAGATTTTACATTATATTATCTACATTATACATTATATATATCAAAATTGAGATATTTAGTCTCTCTAAACCTCCAATATTATATCAATTTTTGTTTTCTGTGCACATTGCTATATCACTGATTGCTATATTGCGATTCTGGAACCCGAAGATTTTACAGTATAATATCAAAATTGAGATCTTTAATATCTTTATACCTCCAATATGATATAATTTTTTGTTTTCTGTGCACATTGCTATATCACTGATTGCTATATTGCGATTCTGGCTTTCGTCACGGTTCTTCCTCTCTTACTGCCAGCTTATCAATCGGCTGTCGATGATAAGGACGCCTATCATGGCAATGATTCCATTTGAAGTGTATACAATTCCTTTGTTGCCTGTCGATAAGATAGGAGCAGCAACCAGAGACAAGTGAATAACATACGAAACAAAAGTGGAATATATGGGAAATTCGCTGGTATGCTATGTTGACTGGCAGTCCGACTTCTATGGCTTCAGTTACGCTGCAAAGTCGGTCGAGTGCGGGTCATTTGGCAGTAGTTGCATACGATTGGTCAGACGAAAGTCGCAAGTTTTCGGTTTATTTGGGCCAACCTAGGTACTATATCAGTCCAACAACACAGTTCAACGTATTTGTAAGTGTTTAATAGCTTAGTTTTGCAAAATATTACTTTAAATGTGTGTCATAAATCGATTTAAAAGTGGAAACAAAAATACATACTTGGCATTGAAGACTTTACTCCCCCGATGTCGCAGTTAATTTCCAGTGACAGAAGACTGAGTGCTATGAAATCAAGTCTGAATCCGTTGCATACTTTCAGGATTTAGATTTATAAACAACTGTGTAGATTACCAAGAAAAACTACATTAAAGCCATACTTTAAAATTCAATCAGAATTTAAATTTATTTATTTAAAGACTCCAGCGTTGCCAATAGCAAATTAAAAGATTGCATGCTGCCAGACCTAAAAAATTATTTCTCATCTTAATCGATATTCGATTATTTATAACGTTCGTTTTTTAGTTTTCCTTATATTATTTGTGTTTTTTTTTAATTAAGCGAGAATTTAGACCTAAAAAAAAGGAGATCTTAGTGCTACCTGATCGGGAACAAATATGACTCATATCCATGGAAGAGGAAAAGCACATAATGATTGAAAAATATTGCATTTCGTTTTAGCTTTTTTAAAATGACACAGAGAAGGTCGAGAAGGGATAGTAGAAAAAATGGAAAAGAAGGTCGCAATCAATTTTAAAAATATCAACGAAAAATGATTTTTGAACTCACGAACCCAAAAGCATAAAAAATTGTCTGTGATTTTTAAGGGATCTTAAATGTCGAGCACTTTAGAATTATTTATATTTAAGTAAAATCGTTTAAGCTTTCCTAGCAAATATAAAAAAAAGCATATAAATTTCAAAAATATTTCCTGATTGGAATATTTTAAACTATTTATATTTGCAGCCCTTTACGATCTGAATACTTTGTGAATAGTTAAAAGTGATATAAAATATTTGATAAATGACTTAGGAAGGGAAATAGTCAACATTACTATTTACCTAATATCCCTGTCCAGCTCACTCAAATTATAATAAGTTAATCCAATACAAAGTACTTTGATTACATCTTGAAGCGAAAGCTGGAAAACATTTCGCATTTGTGTTACGTTAGTAACGTTATCAACTTAAGTTATGTAGTTAATTTACTTTTGAGCAGCTTATCGCGAGGAGTGTCACTCATGTGTTTGGCCTGGCCAAGTTCCATTTCGGGCCTAAATCATGTCACCGCAGTCCAGTTATCAGCCTTATCAGTTATCACCCGAGAGCGATGCAAAGCGAGAGCTTATGGAGAGTGAGGGTGGTACGAAGGGGCGGTTCGGGGGGGCGTGTATCCAGTTTTTTGCTCAACGCTCGTGCGTTTATCCGCTCGCCTTGTCGTCTCACTTGCCAAGAGCTGGCGTTCAGTTCAACTCACATTCCGCATCGCTGAAGTTCGGACAAGATTACAGAAAGTGTTAGCTCTGCGCCGATAATCGAATCGAGATCCAGCGCAGAATGATAAACAACTCGTTCGAGTTCTCGTGTAAAGACCATAAACCCCAACCCTAAAAAACAAAGATCATTTTCAAAATGTTTATCAGACCTATTTCATTACGAAGGATCATAACACAACCATTGAAAAATATACTATCTCGGTGATTCCATATTATCATTATAATATTATATTTAATTTAAATATCTTATAGTTATTACTACCCTATAGTAATACTAACCGAACCCCCTTTTTTTCCCCTCAGCCGACGACGATTCAGACGTTAGTCCACACGATATGGAGGGCAATAGCTCGGATCTTGAGAGCGGAGCTCGGGATATGAACGGTCTTAGCCTGAATTCGTACAGCAGCGGTTTGCAGGCTCAGCTTCAGGTGAGTTGCCTTTTAAGCACCTTAAATATATCTTAGTTTGCTAATTTATGGACTTCTCTGACCTCTCAAACAGCTCGATTTGGACCGGCAGCACCTGCTCAGCGATCGCCCGCGCACTGGAGTTTACGAGAACGTCATATCCGAGGGCGTCGAGGGGATTGAGCACCAGGAAAGGTATGTCAAGAAACGATTTATCTTAAAAACATTGTAAGAAATCCAGATACTAAAGCACAGCGAAGATTATATATTATCAATTTATCGCGATCTATAAATTATCTATTTAATATTCGCATACAAAAGAGCTTTATTCAACTCTTTAATAAATATTTAGTCAGAAAACATTCAAATTTTATAGCTTGACATTAGGTCTTTAAATACTAACATCGAAAATTCTGGCAAGAGACATTCCAATTAACATATAATCGAAAAAGTAAACGCGCCCTTAAGTAAACATTACTAAGTGCAAAAAGGCCTAAATACCTTTAATAAGTGTAACAATCATATCTGCAAAGCAAACCTTAAGAGATCTTCAAAACCAAAACAAAATACATAGTATATAGTATATAAGAAGTAGACTATCTAATTACTTTCATAGCTTCATTATTATGGTCTCTAGGTATACCTATAACCAAGTACATCTTCCAGAATGTTATTATTAAGTTATCACATTTGTAAAGTAATTGATATTATCTAGCTCTGGACTTGTTTGTCTAACTAGTTTAGCCCATAGCTTATTTGCAGTATAAGATTACACACTGCATCAGTTAACTTTCTTGAGTATGGGAACATTTGCAACTAATAAAGCTGGTAGACACGCAGTATTACTTGGCCCACAAAGACCACCTCCTCCTCCGCCCATAAACACCTCGTAAGCGAGCCCTTCCTTTCAAACCAGCATTTTTATTACAAGAGCATGCCGGAAATATCTTAACCGTCTGGCAAATGCCTTTCCGCATTCACTCGCTCTATGTAAATTCCGCCGCTTGTCGAAATTTTAGAGACCCCTGGCACGCAATCCGGGAGCTCAGGCTCAGGCTTAAATTGAATTGAATTGAAGCGGTAGAAAGTGGAGTGGTGATGGGAAAGTGCTTGCCCACCGTCCTGCACAATGCTAATTGGATGGGCCAAGTGTTTTGTGGGCTTTTTCTTGTGACGCCATCTGTGACGTAGGATTATGAAACATCGTCATAGTTTGCGTGAGGTCTTCAAAACCCCCTGCGAAAAAATATTTATAGCTATCAGGTCGCTTCGGGGGGCAGGTCTAAAAAAAGAGTTCATTACTTTTAATGGTCAGCAGGGGGCTTTTAAGAATAGTTATAGTGACATTTGCCAAAAACTGGAAGGAGGACTATTTTTACCATGGAATGTTTGTGGGTATAAACACGTACCCTTGCTTTAGATTCCAGCCTAAGCTAAAAGTACATGAATGATATTTTAGTAAATTTTTATATATTTTTAAATTGTATGCTTATCGCATTAAGATAATATTTATTTTGCCATTTTACGTGTGGAAATAATCTTAAGGGTAAATATTTATGAATATTTATAAATGCTTGTATCTATAAGCAAAGATAATGTCTGTGACAAAAGCAAGAAAATTAATCTTTTCCAAAGAATAGATAAATTCTCCTACAAAAAAATTAGTTTAATATCGGTGGACTACTTAAAAAGCTTTAAAAGAAATTTAAAAAAGCTTAAAAATATAAAAAGCCACGAGCTTAAACGTTTTACGTTAAAATAAATGCCTTAATAATTTTTTATAAATATTTAAAATGTCATTAAGATTGTGCCTCGCGTTTTTTAAGGCAATTAAATTAAAATTAAAATGATTAAGATGACATCTCGGCTTGGAGTGGGAATGTGGATCCACTTGTAACCGGATCGGCCGGTGGCAATATAATCAGAATATCGAACCGTTGCAGTTCATTGAATGAAACCGCACAAATGCCTCGCACACATTTTGTAGACATTTAAATGTAACATCTCACAGGCAACTTAATTTATTCAACCGATTTCAGGGTGAGGGGAAGGTGGATCCAATGGGGTGTTGACAACTGGGCGCCGCTTCCTGGACCAGTTTTTTGTTGTCGAGGTTTTTTTTGCGTGCGTACGGGGGGAATGTACCCCACTGTGAAGCCGCTGCTTCTTCTGCGCAATCAATTAATTACAATCTGAGGTCATCATGGCACATGCAGAAAAAAGGTCCATACTTGGTTTTAAACTTTTTTTAAAAGGAAATATTGGGATATACTTAAATATGATGAAAATAGATTCTAAGTTTTTTTAGAATGATAAAACTCTTATCATAAGAGGTTAAAATTTCTTATTGAAAGTCAAGAACAAACAAGTTACAATCTGAGGTCACTTTTTGGGATATATTTGGGGATATTATTAAGATATATTAAAATATGAAGTAAATAGATTCTATATATGTTTAGAGTGATAAAACTTTTATTATAAGAGGTTAAAATTTTTTATTGAAAGTCAAGCACAAACAAGTTACAATCTGAGGTCACTTTTTGGGATAAATTTGGGGATATTATTGGGATATAATAAAATATGAAGCAAATACATTCTACATATTTTTTGAATGATAAGACTGTTATCTTAAGAGGTTTACATTTCTCATAGAAAGTCAAGCATAAATCTTTTCATAACAACAAATTCTGTTCTCATTCTCATTTATTAGATTAGGAATAATCTTATATCAAGTTAATTTTTAGCTCTATATAATCTATATAATCCACTGTGCATTTGTACAATAATACTCCTCCATCTATGAGTCAACAGTAATGTTGATTTTGTTTACCGTATTGTTTTAACATTCCATTTTGATGGAAATGTTGCACATTGCGTGCATACGTACATACGATTTTTCCCCATAAATGTATACAAAGAGTGGGTGGGTGGGGGTTGAAACCAAAACAGAATTCGTGTGTTCGTTTTTTGCGCATTTAGCTGCCAACTGACAACGCAAACATTTGAACTGATTTCATTTTTTTGACAGTTTTGTTTTAGCCCCAACTGACATTAGTGCAAATAAAGCCGCTAGCATGATGTCCTTGGGTAATTGTTGTTGTTGTTACTGGCTTTGGGACTAACTGTTCTTGCTCTTATTCTTGGCATTGGTGTTGTAACTGATTGCCATTAAAGAGGCGAAAGGGCGCACGCTCCAAAAGCGAGAGAGTGTTCCCACTCTCTAGCGAGTACAAATAATGTACACTAAGGAAAAATTATTTTTTTTATATTTTCAAACCGTTATAAAACATAGTTAAACATGCATCTTACTCTGCTACTGAATTTCAAATCCCAAGGCTATAAAAAATGGTTTATCTTATAAACACTTTAGGCGTAGTGAAATGCTCTCAAAGTGTTCTTGAAAATTACTCATACGACTTGTATGCCAGTTTGGTTCAAAAATATCGCTTTCCAATTTATAAACAAAAGCAAATGTTTGGTTGAAATCTACGCCACCTAGATTTAAATAAACATTTCATCAAAGGAAACAGTACGTGTGATTGATGAACTTTGAAAATAGTGCGCAGATTCTCTTACATATATTTCTGAAAAACTTATTTGTGGTATGACTAAATGCCTTAATACAAAATTTGAGTAATTTTTAAAAAATTCAAATAATTAAATACTTTTAATCAAAAAACTCCAAAGTAATATTAATCGTTTTTTAAACAAGGTTAAAAAATTGAATTTTTTTTACACAACAGTCTAAAATCCTTTTATCAGGTCCAACATCACAGTGATTTTAGATAAATATTTCTCTCCGTGCAGCATCATCGCGTGGGAGAGAGCAAGAGCGTGAGCTTTCTTTTGCGGCGACGTCGCCACAGCGCCACTCTCTCTCTCTCTCTCTCTCTCCTTCTCACCTCCTCTCTCCTTCGCGGCTGCTGGGGGCGGCGAAAAGATTCAAGAGCAGCCCCACTCGCCGCCAACGCGCTCATTCGAAAAGCTCCGCTCGCGGCGAACAGACGTGCATCGAAAGTATACATCCCGTGACGGGCGCGAATTCTATATAAATCGGTGATAAATCCATAAAATCGCATTCACTCAAAAGTTGAAAGTATAAAGGAAAAACTATTTTCGCATTTCCACACGCGGCTTCCGTACAACGCAAAAGTCTGGCCACCAAGCTGCCCGCCCATACTTATTATTTAACCGAAATAGAGGAAAAGAAACACCCTGAACTATTTATAAGTATTTAGCGAAAGGAAAAAACAAACCATCTTGCGTCAATTGAATACGAAATCTAGTTGAAAACAGCGGCGAACAAATCAAGTCGTAGCTGTACGATTGTTAAAAATAATAAAAACCAAATTTGTATTTTGACTTAAAATCGATAAACAGTAATTGTGCGCGAGAGGCGAACAGCGGAACTCAAAGGGAACAGAAAGTAGTGCCACCCAGAAAACACAAAACCAGTAACAACTACAACTACTACAAAAAACCCCATCCGAAACTCAGTGTAAACTATGACAATGTTAGAAGGAATGACGTCCATCGACTTGGGCTCCAGTCCCATGCAAGAAACCACGGGCGACATGAACGACGTTCTGCCCGATGAGCTCATGGAGACGCCGGAGGAAAGGTAAGGACCTCGTAGGACGGCAAAGGGTGTAGGGAGTACGGTATTGAAGAGTGTCAGTCACGGAGTAGGACAGGCCATCACCGCCCCTCCACAGCCTTTTTTCCCCCCACTCTGGCAGTAAACAATTGGTCCTCGACAAGGGTTTCATGACGTCAGCTGTGGGGTGGGCGAACATTGCAGCCTAACTATACCAACTAGATCCGATAACTGTCTGTCATATACGTTGTACACGAATGGGGAAATTCAAATGAAAAAAAAGTCCTTCAAAACCTGTTATTATAAGACCGTACTTAATAATACCTTGTTCATTTCATGTAGATGTACTATGAAGATTAAAATTTTTCATTCTAAATATAAAACATTTTAATTTCACAATTAAATTCAATTAGTACCAACTTTTAAGCTGTATAGACTAATTGTTCTATGTTTATGATAGACTGCTTTTGCTTATATAAAATACAGTCGAAATATAATAACTCGAAGCATTATATCTACCTCCAAATAAAGTTAGGGCTATGGTCCATACTATCTATTTACGCTTCTTTTACTTTTAGAGAATTTAGAGTTAAGAAAGCTGTAACTATAAGGCATACAAATTTCAAGCTGTAAGATATTTTACTTTTTTAGAATATTAGTACTGATATAACTATTGTATTCTAAGTTTTTAAGAGAAGTTTGGCTTAAAATAACATTAAGTGAAGAGGAAGGCAAAATGTTTTTAAGTATTGTTAAGGGGAGTACTAAACAGATCTAAGAAATCGATCTATCTATAAACTCAGTTTAAGTTTCCCCACATTCCACTCTAAAAAGTTTGCATTACTGTATTTCAACTGTACTCTTCCCCCGAGACTCCCTGCAATTTCTATTTTTGGATTGTGCATCCTTCAGCTTGCCTTGCAACTCGCCCCTGACTTATTATTGAACTAACCAGGCCAACCTTCACCCGTTCACCCACTGCAAGTGAACCCAAATAGAACCTTTCGGCCTTGTTTTTCCGTACGTGCCAGTGAACAATAACATGCAATGTGTGTGTGTGTTTGATGCCAGGAAATGTGATCTAATAATATTGTTATTACTTCTCTGCGGCTCTGACTAAGTAAAGTGTGAGATTTATTCCATGGATTAGCATTGCGCTTTAATATTCATTGTATATTTCGCACGATAATCACATTCTGGGGCCACCACCCACAAAATCTACCTGCATCCGCATCCGCAGCTGTATCTGTATCTTTAGCTGGGCAAACACCAATTTCGAGATTGCGATTGAGATTGAGTTGGCCAAGACTGCGTCACAATGCGTCACATTTTGGGTACTATCTGGATGCTTATCTGGATACACTCTGCAGTCACAAAAGGCTTATCGGTTGCTGCTACCGGAGTTTACTGCGGCACGAGGAGGCAAAACATCACATCACAAATCACAACCCAAATCACTTTGCTTAATCACGGTCTTAAGTCACCTGAAATTGACTCATATTAGCCAGCATTTAGCGGCGACTGAGGTGTTCAATTAGCCAGCTCGAAAGTTTGTTTTTCGGCGTGTGGCGTCGAAAGTTGTTAATCACTTTAGCACAACTTTTGTACAGACTATGTATACATATGTAGATATACCGATTCTCTGTGAAATTTTCAAAGTGACTCACAGGCAATGTGCGCATTTGTTCACTGGCCAATTAAATGCAGATTTCCCCATTTAATTGGGTTACCCATTCCCATTCCCAGTCTAATTTTGTACTTTTATCTAGCAAATATTTGCTCGAATTTAGCACACTTGGATTATAAAAGCAAGGCAGCTAAAACATGGGCTTAGCACGCCTTTCAAATTTATAATTCGCCAGGCGGATAATCATGATGTTGAGTATTTTTTTTTCGTTTTTTGCGAAATGAATTTCAAGCAGTCGGCCAAGGCGACTTTACAGCAGCTTCTGGTCGTGACAGTGGGCCAGAGAGACGGCTGTCATTATATGCTTATATGGCCTGGAATTGCGTGACGCCACATAATAATCGATCGAACTTCCCCCTGCCCACCCCCCAGCAAACCAATCAATGTAGGCTCCACATAATCGCCGCGTCAATAGTTATATGCGTAGTACTTGAAAAGTCAGAGGCCATAGAGTAAACAAAATGAAAGGAATCTGAAATAGAACAGGCCATGCGTGTAAGCCATTTTGTAATCGATCTTGGGTTGTAATCATATTCTCGGAAAATTTAGAATTCTGGGAAAATTAAGACACTGCAAACATGTACTGCGCACTTAAATAAATAAGATAAACTACGAGTTTTGCAGAATCTTCCGGGGAAATACAAGACGCAGTTCAAATATTACAGATATATAATACAGTGAACATTGCACTGCCTTATAAATATAATATAATTTCTAGTTGATTTATGTACATATACCAAGTTTTAAGATAGACTTCGAGTGTTTGCGGAATCTTCCGGGGAAATACAAGACGCAGTTCAAATATTACAGATATAAAACATAGTGAACATTGCACTGCCTTATAAATGTAATATAATTTCTAGTTGATTTATGTATACCAATTTCTTTTAAATGTATATTTTGAATTATTTCTATATTTCTAACATTAAATTATACTTTTCTAAGGCTATCTTCTATTTAAAATTTTTTTTTAGTTTGTGTACTTTTGTAGTTCTTGACTTCTAACATTAAGGTATACTTTTCTATGGCTATCTTCTATTTTTAAAAATGTTGTTCCTTCATTTTTTTAATGATTTATAAGCTAATATAACCTATAAAAACTTTTTGAAAATATCTATAAAATTCATTTTTCTAAGGTATTATAGTATAAGCTCTTATGAGATCTATGGTACTAACCTCTGACTTTTTTCTCTTCCAGATACGAACGCCTTTTGCGTCGCGCTCAAGTCGAGGACTTGACGGAGGTCTCGGGCATCGGTTGTCTTTACCAGAGCGGCGTGGACCGCCTGGGTCGGCCTGTGATTGTGTTCTGCGGCAAATGGTTCCCCGCCCAGAACATCGACCTTGAGAAGGTAATGCTCGAAAGCTATCCATTGCTTAAAAAATACTAATTTCTCTGTGCTCTTTAGGCCTTGCTATATCTTATTAAGCTACTGGATCCCATCGTTAAAGGAGACTATGTCATCTCGTACTTCCACACGCTGACATCCACAAACAACTATCCATCGCTGCACTGGCTGCGTGAGGTCTACAGTGTGTTGCCTTACAAGTGAGTTCCTAACTCTAGACCTCAAAAAATATATATTTTACTAAACTTAAATTTTATGATATATAGATACAAGAAGAACCTGAAGGCCTTCTACATAGTGCACCCCACTTTCTGGACTAAGATGATGACCTGGTGGTTCACCACGTTCATGGCGCCAGCCATCAAGGCCAAAGTGCATTCTCTGCCGGGTGTAGAACACCTGTATTCGGCCATCACAAAGGATCAGCTGGAAATTCCCGCCTACATCACCGAGTACGACATGGCGGTAAGTCAAAACAAACTATAATATAATTATAATATATCTAATACAATTTATTTGTAATCTATTTACAGACCAATGGCCTGCATTACTTCAATCCTGTGCCGACTGCATCGTAGATGGCGGCCATTGTTGCTGTCTAGGACAGCGGGCAGCCACCATAGCATATACATACCTATATATAGATACACACACACAATTGTGAAGTTTTTATAGATTTTATAGAACGTATTTTGTTTTCTTGATAAGTAATATTTGTTTACTTGCGCATAACTTTCGATGTTGTCGTTTATCGATTGACTTGCCGCAAGTTTTGTTGAACATTGTGTAGCATACTTTTATGGGAATGGCCGAGTCGCCCGATCCCTCGATACCAATTAGCTAAAAAACATAAATCGGCAGCCCCCAAAACAACCAGATAATTGTGTAAAACATTCTTATGAAGTGCATGGAAATTAGTTAATTAGTTGGCATCGGCAGAACAAAAACCTTGTTAATTCGCTATAAATAGAAGTTGAACTATTGGTAGGAGATGGATAGGGTGGATGGGAGGACTCGTTAACGAGATAGGTAACCAAAATAAACCAAAAATAAAACACGTTAGCAATGCTGAACAAAATGAAATTTGATTAGAGAACCTGCATATACGGATATACAAGATTATTCTAAATATTAAATTGATAAATTGTACTTGATTACGGAAGGGAAAAGTATATAGAAGTGAATAAGTATACATATTGTTAGTTATCTTTGCAATTACAAATTGTATTATTAATGTATTAATACTAGAGCTAAAGCGTATGCAGTTTGATCCCCCGATATATACACACATACACATACATACGTACTATAATTCAATTGTATTTATACATAACTATATATACTAAATATACACAACTAATAAATTAAAACCAAAACCAAAACACGGAGGAGAAATCGAATTGTAGAAGAGTATATGATGAGGCAGCGAAGAGCCTGCAAAAAACCTTTTGTAGATACTAACTAGAGCTCACCGTAAGGCCCTCCCAGCAATCGAAACACCAATAAAGAACCTAACGAACCCAAAAATGAATGTTAAATGTTCAACTTTGATATGAGATATGTTTAGGCGCAGGAGATTTTCAACTCGAGACACGTCCCCTTTATCTTCCATGCACCGTTTGCGCTCAAAAAATGAAAAAAATTAAGAGAAAAAACTCAGAATCAAAGCCAATAGCACGCCACTGCTATACGTATATATTTGTAATTGTGAGATATATAGGTATTGTAATTAGTCGAATCAATTATGGCACTCGCTGGCAGTAATCAGAAATCAGAGCCACACTCAAACCACTGCGCACCACCATTTGAAGAGCCAAAAAACCGCCACAGCCAACACCAGCAGTTGATTTAGCAACTACGCAATTACAAGCAAAGTAAAATGCACTCAGGGATTGATTTAAAACAAAAACCAAAAATCCAAAACAAAACAAAAAGAATTGAAAACCTAATGCCTAAAACCAAAAACCAAAAACCAAAAGATATTTAGATAAACGACAAATGCGCTTTCCTCGAACCACAATCGGCAGCCTGGCTAGTACCTAAATTGATAAATCAAGTAGAGTTATAGCGAAACACCAAAGTGAGATAGTTTTTGGACATGTTCTTATAAGAGTACCTATGTCGTATGTCGTAGGCAGTTCATCCGACACTTATGCCAATTACATATTTTGTATTGCCTCACCAGCAAAGTTTAGGACAATTAATCAGAGTGCTATGGGGTAGCTAAATTTCCACCTCTAACAATAATCAGAATCACGGCAAATTACTCAAACTAGTCTACTCAAAAGTTATGCTTGTATGAGAACCACCTTACAGGAGTACAACAATCGGTATATATGGTATACCCATCCTATGGCTTACTCAACTGTTATTGAAAATCGAAAAAAGTAATATTACCAAACAGAATCCCAAATCGAGAATCCAAGTTATGCCAAGTGTTCCTTTCTAACAAAAAACGTATATATTTAGACGAATACTTTTCGTAATATTTGAATATTTGTAGGTAAATCTTAAAGCCAACTACAAGTAACTAGTAATCTCATTGAATCTAAATATTTCCCCGAATTTTCCCTTCTAATATTGCTATTGCTTTAGCGTTAAAAAATTCAAGCAAAACAAAACTGAAAGAAAGCTAATAAAGAATTGATTAAAAAACGGATTTGTTGCTAAATTAAATAAAAAAATGTACCTTCGAAAGGAATTGTGCGATCGATTCTTTTCTAGCGTAGAACAAATTCCTTATAGTTGGTAAATCAGAAACGAGATGAAGAATGATCGTCGTGGCACAAAATGCGAAATTAAGTTAAGTTTTTCCAAAAATTCGAGAATCCAGCTCCTTGTTCTTTTTGTATATATAAGTACATACAAGGTAACAAATTTAATTGGTAATTAATAAAAGGAAAAAACAAAACAAACGCTTTCTTTAAAAATAATCTTGTGTTGCGTTTCAAAAAAGATTCCTAGATTCTATTGAAAATCACAAATAGTCGGAGGTATTTATCTCAGTTACTGAATGATCAGCTTGTTCTGCTGGGAGTCTGAAATGTACTCCTCTTTGTACTGCTCAAACATGTTCTCCAGAGCCTCTATCACCTTGGAATGGATCTTGTCCACATAGTCGGCATCGGGGTTATCGCTTTTTATCACATCAATGGGGGAACCAACTGGAATAATAATGGTGTTAGTAGGATAAGAGTTTAAGGAGGTATGTTAAAGTATTTCAGACTCACCAACTTGTACAATACGTCGGCGATGAGGCAGTATCCCATAGTTGTAGTTGAAGATACCTCGACCTTTGGGAAGAAGTGGTGATATGCCTGTGATCTTCTTTACCACATTTTGGAAGCGACGAAGTGCGGAGTCTGGCGGATTGGCCACCTGATCAAATATATCCACCTCGCCGAAAGACAACGAGGGCACAATTGACGAACTATAATTGGGATAGGGTTATAACTGAAGGTTCTCCTTAATTTTATAAATCAAAACTCACCCCGTTCGTATAGCCATTTTAACGAAACCCTTGCGATTCTTCAGGGTTAGAATGTACTTTCCAGGATGGGATTCCATGGCCTCCTGGGCTCCACCCACCAGCACTGCCACCGCATTCGATGTAAAACCATCTTTATTATCCTTGTGCTTGGGATCATTGGATTTACTAAGTAAATAAGCCAATGACTCTTTGGAAACCGACACCATTCCCCACCACCGCAATATATCACGTAAAAAAGGGGTCTTGAAATGATGATCCAGGGTGGCGATCTTGGGTCGAACTTTGGGAAAGAGCTCCAGCCAATTTTCAATGTCCAAACTCATGTTAATACAAATTCCTGTTCTAGAAAAGAAAAGAAAGATTTGATAACATATAATGAGCCTATGATCTATAAACTCTCTTACCCAATTATTCCATGCGGAAAACTAGCCACAATATAATTTTTGTTCGGCGGCAGCTCAGCTGTCTTTACGAGTTCAACGGGAAAATAGTTTCTATATCTCCTAATAGTGCGATAAAATAACCATCTATTTAAACTATATAATGTTATTATCTCTTCTATCGTTGATCTATTTCAGTTACTTACCCATTGCCTTCCACAATTCCGCAGTTTTTTTTGTAATCCAAATATATTTTAACAAAATATATTAAAAGTAGACTGCGCAGAAATAGTCCACCGTAGTACTATAAAAATAGAAAAAGAAGGTAATACCTAAACAATATATTAAATGTTTCAGTTAAAACACAACAAACACATAGTATTTTACTTCAAATGCTTCCATGAAATCAGTTTGTTTTTATAAGTACTGTAAAAAATATGAAGTATTTCGAATTCTTATCACTGAAAGTCGGCACGTTTTTCGATTGGAATTTTTTTATTTTGTTTACTTCAAGTTTTATCACAATCAGTACTATTTTGTGTTCATAAAAAAAACAATTAATCACACACATAACACAAAAAAAACGCGAAAAAGTTCACAGTTCACAATTTTTAAAGTTTATTAGTTTATTCTATGGAATTTTTGGACACTCTTTTTGTATTTTGATTTATTTAATGCAATTTAACATTTTCTGAAGGATTTACCAGGAGAATAGCAACTATAAGGCAGGAAGTTATAGGAAGCGTAAAGAAAGTATAGGTGAAGAAAGCCGTAACCAGGGTCTGAAGACGCCGCTCCAGCGGAACTTGTAGAGGAGCCCATTCGATTTTCATGTTGAAATCAACCGATCTTCCTCCCAAAGAAGCAACTATTTCGACGAGTTTCCAGCGACTGAGCGATCGCGTAGCAGCGACAAACAATTTTCAGGGTGTAACAGCTGTACTTATCCTTATCAACGCAACGACCCGCCTCTTCGGGGCGATCCATAAGAGTCTTTAACAGTTTGAGAACCACACTCGAGTGATAAGTCATTGATAAATGCCTAAGCCAAGACACTTGATAAATATAACAAACTTAGTAAGAATTAAGATTACGTCACAGTGTGCAGATGCTCTGAAAAGTAAACCTATTTATTCAGATTTATATGCTCAAATTAAAATCAAATAGGTCTGATAAGGCAGTCATATTGAGTGGCTGTAAATTTTGATTACGATCTTAACAGTTTCTGTTTAATCAGCGAGTACTGAATCATATCTTGGTAGCCGGTACTATTCCAATGTTTACAGCAACAGTCATTACTTTCGCGAATTATTCCTGACCTTTACTCGTAGAAGTTTATGTTTATGACACATGTTTCGGCGGTGCTTCGCAACAGTCAAAATACTCATATTGTCGTGCGTACCCCAGTAATGGGTTCTTCGATAAGGAGTGTAGTTTGATTTTGTCGCATTTTTCGCTAGAGATCTGTGTCGCCCTTATCAGTCCAGTGTCTCATTCACACAACTTTACATTGAACTGAAAAAATATAGTAGTAATAATGATCACGCACTTTCCTTTATGTGAACTTCTCGAATTTCATAAAAGCATGTCGAACTGAATGTCCAGCACGTGATATTCACTTTTCCGTTTAGTTCCCATATTAAAAGCATTATCATAATAGATAACTGAAATTCTAAAACACACTTTTATTTTAGTATACTTCATAGCTTTCTTTAAAATATTTGTGTATACCAAAACTGCCGTTGGTATCATTAAATCAAACTGTAACAATAATAATACTGTTACCCACTAATATCTTGTATGTAAAAATTACTAAACACATTTTAATTACTGTACAACCAGTTTGGCACTTGTGGGGTTCTGTAAGTATTTGTCTTTGTGCTGCTCAAATAATTTCTCCAGGGCCTCAATGACCTGTCCATGAACTTTGTCCACATACTCTGAGTCGGGTGTATCGCTTTTCACAACATCAATGGGGGAACCAACTATGAATTAAAAATATTTAGTTTTAAATATATTCTATACAAAACATTTTAAATACTACTTACCAACTTGAACAATACGTCGTCGAAAAGGCAGGGGACCAAAGGTGTAGTTGAAGAAACCTCGACCCACTGGGATCAGTGGAGAAACACCGGTAAGTTTCTTGACCACATTCTGAATCCGACGCAGAAGAGAGTCTGGAGGATTGGCCACCTGATCAAATATATCCACCTCGCCAAAGGAAAACGAAGGCACAATTGATGAACTGGAATAAGATTTAAGTTAGAATTTTTTTTTATAATTTCCCAAATCTTTACTCACCCCGTTCGAATGGCCATCTTGACGAAACCCTTCCTATTCTTCAGGGTCAAAATATACTGTCCAGGATGCGAGTCCATGGCCTCTTGGGCACCACCAACCAGTATGGCCACCGCATTCGAGGTGAATCCATCCCGATTGTCCTTGTGCTTGGGATCATTTGATTTGCTGAGCATACGGATTAGGGCCTCCTTGGATACGGACACCAAACCCCAGCAACGAATGACCTCTCGCATGAAGGGAACATGGAAATGCTGATCCAGAGTGCCCACTTTTGGTCGCACTTGAGGGAATAGCTCAAGCCACTTGGAGATTTCTACACCCATGTTTATACCAATGCCCGTACTACAATCCAAATCAGTGTATATTTATATTTAAACGATTAGATTGGCTATCTGTCAATGTACTTACCCCAAAATTCCATGGGGAAAGCTGGCCAAGATGTAGTTTTTATTAGCTGGCAGTTCGGCGGTTTTCACCAGTTCCACGGGAAAGTAATCGCGATAGCGACGATGTATGCGATTAGTACGGGTTATCATCCAGCTGAGAGATTGGGTATATCATATTGAAGGAAATTTTCTTTGATTTTACACTTACCCATTGCCATCCACCACAGATTGGGTTTCCTTGTGATGCACATAGACGTAAACCAAGTAAATCACCATTAAGCTGCGCAGCAGGAGGCCTCCATAGATCTATAGAAAATCAACAATTCAACAATCCAATATTTATTTTAAAGATTAGTCTTCCTACCAGTGAACCAGCTACTAAAAGAAACGAAGTAGATAATAGTATCAACAGCATCGAGGTGAAGAATGCCGTGACCAGTATCTGCAATCGACGTTCCAGAGGAACTCGAAGGGGTGCCCATTCGATTTTCATGTTTACTCCAGTCCAATATTGTCCAATAACTATACCAGCTGCTGTTTCGGCGGTTCTCCCACGACTGAATGATATGAAAACCAGCGACGGTCAATTTGACCAGTATTAGACTTATACTTATCCTTATCGCAGGGCGCCCGCATTACCGGCTAATCATAAACCAACTAACCAGTAGTTCTTTGTTTGGGGCCGATGGGAATTTGTGATAAAGATGATAAAGGCTGGCTTACAATCGGCGTGTGGGTACAAAGGTACGCGGCGATTCCAAAATTATAACCCACTTTTGAGTTAAGGAGTAGTATTTCATCTGACTAACTAAAAATATAGTTATATATATAGAGTGATAAGAAAATATATTTCCATACCAGAATCGACTAGAGGTGATTATCGGTTTAAGTGTTAAACTAGACTGAAATAGTATGCACGATGAAATGATTGCCCGTTCTATACATGTACTATGAAAAAGTCAACAAAGTCCAACCTCTGTAAAACAGGTTTTTAAGGTGCCATTAAAACTGGAAGACAGGTCTGTTTTTACATAGAAGAGATTTTTAAGATAATCTAATTATTGTCTTTTAAGTCACATTATTTCTTGCACTACCAATTAATTAATCAATCATTATAATAAATTCTTTGAATTTAAAAAATATCCGCCAATAATTATTGATCGTTGATTAACACTAAAGCTTTCTTATCGATACATAACCTGATCAGAGCTTTTAATTGTTGCTAGGCGATAATTCCTTGTTTAAAAAAGTGATCACTAACCACAGTTATAAAGACGCAGACAAATTAAAACAGCCTTATAAAATGACTAAAGCGGTTTGTATTATATGCTTATAAAGCATTAGTTTGATCACATTCTTTAGAAAACAATTTTTTTGACTAATGAATAATAAGCTTGCTCTGTTTAGAGTTTGGTATGTAAAGATCCTTGTACTGAGCGAACATCTTCTCCAGATCCTCGATGACCTGTTTATGTATCTTATCCACATAGGCTGCATCCGGCTCATCACTCTTTACTACATTAATGGGGGCACCAACTAAAAGGATTTTAGAAATTAAATGGGTTAATAGAAAATAAGGGAACTTTTTATGATGATGGGACTCACCAACTTGAACGATGCGCCGTCGGTTGGGCAGAATTCCGAAGGTGTAATTGAAGATGCCGCGACCCACTGGAATCAGCGGGGATATCCCCGTAATCCTCTTTACAAAATCTTGGAAGCGGCGAACTGGAGAATTCGGTGGATTGGCCAACTGATCTATGATGTCCACCTCGCCAAAGGAAAACGAGGGTACAATCGATGCACTTGAATAATGAAAGGAAACTGTGAAAAATGTCTCTTAACTCTCAAGATCTTTACTCACCCCGTTCGAATGGCCATCTTGACGAATCCCTTTCGGTTCTTCAGGGTCAAGATGTATTTACCAGGATGCGAATCCAGTGCCTCCTGAGCACCACCCACCAGAATGGCCACCGCATTGGAGGTGAACCCATCCCGATTGTCTTTGTGGTCGGGATCGTTCGACTTGGACAGCAAGTAAACCAAAGCATCCTTGGAAACGGAGACCAATCCCCAAGATCTCAAGAGACCACGCACAATGGGCGTCAAAAAGTTCTGGTCCAAAGTGGCTACCTTGGGCCTCACCTGCGGGAACAGTTCCAGCCACTTGGAGATGTCTAGACCCATGTTGATGGAAATGCCCGTCCTATATTTCAATATTTACATTAGTATGAGTGTGTACATTAATGTTTCGTCACTTAAGCACTCATTGATAAGATTGGCTATCAGTCAACGAGCTTACTCTTACGCCAGAACTCCATGAGGAAAGCTGGCCAAAATATAGTTTTTATTCGGCGGTAGATCTGCGGTTTTGATAAGCTGAACGGGAAAGTAGTCTCGATAGTGCCGAAACAGCCAGTTGTTGCGGCTAATCTTCCAGCTAATAGAGGTAATATTAAAACCAATTAAAATGGTTTTTTATGGAAAAATTTTCAAGCCTACCCATTGCCGTCCATTATGGAGTGCGTTCTCCTGTGATTCGCAAAGACGTAGACCATGTAGATGACCACCAAGCTGCGCCACACAAGGCCACCATAGATCTACAAGAGATTACTTAATTTATTGATTAACCAATAACCTATTTTACTTACTAACAAAGCAGCAACCAGTACATAAGATCCAAGAGATAGTATCATGAAGGAAAAGATGAAGAAGGCCATGGCAAACGTCTGACGACGCCGTTCCATGGGAACTTCGAGGGGAGCCCACTCGATCTTCATGTTTGCCGCTCTCAAAAACTCAAAAACTCTTCACGAACCGAAGAATTAAGTAGAGACTCTTCGCACGGTTCTCCAACGACTGAAGAATGTCTAGAGTTTAGTAACCTACTCTTATCCTTATCAGTATCCGCCGATAGCGCGAATTTGTGGCTATCGGTAACAGTTGTTAAAAAATACCACCGATTTAATAGCTATTTGCTTGGGGTGTTTAAAAATTCGAACACTCAAGATAATGTCCTGCTCTATATAGACGTCGAGCTGCAATTGCGATACCGTCTTATCATTGCCAACAATAGCCGGCTTTTACGAAACTTGCTTGGACACGCTTACACCTATGATCACTTTTATTTATTACAGATTGTACGTGTTAATTACAACTGGTTTGCCTATTGAAATCAAGTTTAAATACCATTGTATGTAGAACGAAACTTGTTATAAGATAAACTTCTTGTTATATTGGAAACTCCTCTTATATTTTAATTATTTCATTTGTTATCGAATCCAAATAAACCATAATAATCTCTAAAGCTTTTATTTTTAAAAGGCCTCTAATAAAAACGTATTATTATTTGTGTTTGAAGAGGCGGCTGTAAATATTTATACACGTAATGGATCGTTATCGCATTTTGAGAGCAGAACCGACGACGCGAGCGTGCAAAATTTAACTAAACAAGCGATACGGCATTCAAAAGTCAGAGAGCATTGCTCGAGATTCCCAAATGAGTATTACGAGTACTCGAATGCGATGCAACAGTTGAGTCACCGACGTAATTGCGGGTTCTATACGATATACACCGAAACAGAGGCAGCTGAGGTCATGTGCATTTGCAAGTCTTTATCAAGGGATACCTGTTTTTAGGCTTGTTATGGATCTATTCTAATTTAAATGATGGCAAGAAAGTCGGGTATATGTAAAACTTGCAATGTAGCAAAATTAGCAAAGTTGTTTTATGTTTAAATTCAAATATTGGCGCCCAATTGGTGTTTTAACACTAATCAACACTTAACTATTTCCTATCGGTTTGTTGCATTGAATCCACTTTTGGCGCAAAAAATATCGGAAATTCAAAAGACCTAGTCCAAACTAATGATTTATAGTAGCAATAAGTAATGTACCAATAAATAAGATTCAAAAATTCTACAAATGTGGCTTGTATTTTAAGATTATCAATACAATTTTTCTAGAGGAATGCCTACGAGTTTCCCAATCTTCCTTGGCGCTACGATGACGAAGTACCGATTCGGTTTTTGCATTTCAAATGACCCCTGGTCCAATCCGATACAATCCAATACAATGCAATGAAGAAGTGAAAATCAAATCAAAACAAAATAGCGCAAATATATTCAGCGAGTCCACCATTCTTTATTATTCCTTTTTCGTCGCTTTCCTCTGTCACATTTTTGGGCCTTAGTTTGGCGAGATAATCCATGAGCAGCGGTTCGGTTTTAATCTCTAAAGTAGGATCTTAAAAAATAAATATTTCCAATATTTGTGTATAATATTAAGTGACAGATCAAAGTGCATGCTAAAAGTGCAATAAACCCAAAACAAACATTTTCCATTGCAATACGCAATCAACGATAAACTGAAGAAGTTGATTTGGAAGCAAAACAAAGAAAAATGCTGATTTTCTATACGAAATTCGCGTTTCTCTTTTGGTTTTTTGTGGGAAGCAATCAAGGTGAAATACTGATAATGGACCAAATCTCCTATGACGAATTGCTGCTCACTGTGACCGCATGTACCCAGAACTGCCTGGAAAAGGGCAAGATGGTATGATATATCTCCCCAAACAAGTGAAATATTCCTTTTACTTTAATGGATATTAAATATTCTTCCACTTTCTTGGAATTGAACAAACATTTCTAACAATTATTAGGTTAACAGCCTAATACAAATATTTTTACTATCGTAAAAGCTCACGTAGTTTCTTTTTTGATGATAGGACTTTCAAGGCTGCTACCAGGACTGCAGGGTCAATGGGACATCTCCAGTAACTCTACGCAAAGTACAGGATAACTATCTGCTGAATATGTTGTGTCGCACGGAGTCAGAGATTGTTTTCCACATAGATTGGGTGCAGCACAGAGGGGGAAATGAGTCAGCTCCAAATGCCACTTACATAATCCGGGTGGATGCTGTGAAAGAGGAAATTCCAGAGACCAGACTTTTCTTGGTAAGATTATAATGCTTTATATTAGAGCTACTTAGCAACTTAGTGAGAATAACCCTTTAGTAACTCCATTTTGGTAGTATCCCACTTTATATAACTTCCATTATACTCTTTCGTTGTTCTTCTGCTTTCAGTCGGATGAAAACTTTCTGATCCTCCCTGGCTTGGAGTCCAACTGCAGCCACAATGTCACCGCGCTGGCGATGCACGGGGATGGGAGCTACTCCCTGATAGCCAAGGACCAGACCTTCGCCACCCTAATCCGAGGTTACCAACCCAGCAAAATGGGACTCGTGAAGCTGATGCGATTTGTCCCCCAATCGGGTGAGCTGTATCGCGTTGCTGCCGAGATCGAGTGGGAGCCATCGGCGGGTGGGTTCCATTCTCATAACAAAGTTCCCCCAACTTACTTCCCAAACTTTTCCCGTTTCAGAACAAAACTGCTACTTCGATATGGTGTCCCTGCCAACCCACAGCGTGAATATGGACGAGCCGCGGGTGGAACAGTTCCGGGATGTAAGTATACCATTATACCCCTGATATCCTGGTAAGGATATTTTAAGAGTACTCAACCTTCTTCTCCAGCGAAAGAAGCTTTACAAGCACACGGTGGACAACTTAGAGTTCGACCAACACTATCAAGTGGGCGTGCGAACTGTGAATATAATGAACAAACTTGAAAGCAATCTGAGTTGGTTGGCAGTCATGGCTCCAAGCTGTTTAGAATGGTATCCCTTCAACTACACACTCTGCCGTAAGATACTTGAAAATATTTAACTTACCTTATTTCACTTTAAACCCATCCCATAGCTCCTCTTAAACCGGATAATCTTAGTGTGGCTCAGGAGCAGTATTTGCCTAACACCTTAGCTCTGAATATTTCCTGGTCGCGACCCAGTCACCTGCCAGATAACTACACACTCCACATCTACGATCTGTTTCATGGCGGTAAGGATATCAACTTTACGCTTGACCAAAACAGGAGCCACTTCTTTGTACCCAAGATCACGGTACTGGGTTCCCATTTTGAAGTCCATTTGGTGGCACAATCGGCAGGAGGCAGAAATGCCTCTGGTTTGACCCTGGAGAAAGTACCGCGGGATGTCTGGCTGATTGGTTAGTACATTTTTTATAAGTAAGGATATTAAAAGATTAACAAAATTAAAAGTTATGATATTTTTAGCCTATTGCAACACTAGATTTTTGATAGTTCTTATAAACATTTTTTTTAATAGGTGGACTAATACTGAGTACATAGATTTTGGATTTATTTTTGCGTGACATAAAAAATGACATAGTTTCGATAGTTCGGAAATATGACCTAAAGATTTTTATGATTCCTTGAAAATTTTTAAATACCGAAAAGAAGTCAGAAAACTAAACGCCTAAATGGGTTCAAATTATAAAACCGCCATGATCAAAAATACATTTTTTTAAAACTTTAAAAATAAAATATACTGGTTTCTACATTCTCCTATATTTTTCCATTTAAACAGAGGGCAACCTGGTCAAGCTGATACTCTTCATAATCGTACCCATTGGATGCATTTTGATGCTGTGCTGCCTGACCTTCTGCAGACGGAATGTTCAGGCCTTGAAAATGGAGGCCAAGAATGCGAAGGCCGCCGAGTTCCACCTCTCGATGATGGACAGCAGTGGCCTAATGGTCACCCTGTCCGCCAACGAAAGTCTGGACACACTGGACGAGCTGGAGGTGGAGCCCCATTCGGTGCTTCTACAAGAAGTCCTTGGCGAGGGGGCCTTCGGCTTGGTGCGGCGCGGAGTCTACGAGAAGCGCCAGGTGGCAGTGAAGTTGTTAAAAGGTAGTTCTAGTATTGGAGACCTTATTTTATCTAAGTTTTCTTTATTGTACCACAGATGAACCCAATGATGAGGATGTGTATGCGTTTAAATGCGAAATTCAGATGCTTAAAGCCGTGGGCAAACACCCAAATATAGTGGGTATCGTAGGATACTCAACTCGTTTTAGCCACCAGATGATGCTGCTCATTGAATACTGTAGTCTGGGTAGCCTGCAGAACTTCTTACGGTATGTACCAAAATCTTGAAAGTAACAAAAAACTGATCTTTCCCGAACTTAGTGAGGAGTGGAAGTTCCGGCAGGAGCAGAATGCCATTGGCCTTAAGAAGAACCTTGAGGAGAATGTGGACAAGAGACGCTTCCCCATCCGTAATTCCATTCATGACCGCATAGAAGATATCAACCGCTCGATGTTATCCACTGTGGAGGAGGAGAGTGAAGCGGATCAGACCCATACGAGCAGTCGCGTGGAGACCTACACCCTCACCCGGATCACAAATGCAGCAGACAACCAGGGTTACGGACTGGGGGATATTGAAAACATCGGGGGTAGTGATATTCCAAAAGTCTCAAAAACTCCAGAAGATCCAACAAAACAGAAACTAGAACCAGAGCTCAAGAAAGAGCCAAAGCAGAAATTACAGTTCGAGAGCAAGAAACGTACCTTTGAGAACAAGGAATACTTTGATTGCCTCGACTCATCGGATTCAAAACCAAGAATACCTCTAAAAAACGCAGATCTCTTGGACATTGCCCAACAGGTGGCTGTTGGAATGGTATGATTATTTTACTTAATCTCAATATTTAGAACTTATAACATAACCTAATGGTTTTTAGGAGTTTCTGGCCCAAAAAAAAGTAGTGCATCGTGATCTGGCTGCCCGCAATGTGCTGATCTCCCTAGATCGCAGCATTAAGATTGCAGATTTTGGGTGGGTAATCCCTGGAATATTGGTAAACTTTTATAATATTTCTGATTTTCTTAAAGGCTGAGTCGAGATGTGTATCACGAGAATGTGTACCGAAAGTCCGGAGGAAGTGGCAAGCTGCCTATTAAGTGGTTGGCTTTGGAATCTCTTACCCACCAGGTGTACACCAGTCAGAGCGATGTGTAAGTACCTTTTGGTCTTTACTCTCAAGTCAACTTTTCTTTGATCTTCCACACTTTCAGCTGGTCCTTTGGAGTGCTGCTCTATGAGATCACCACGCTGGGCGGAATGCCGTATCCATCAGTGTCGCCCGGTGATCTCCTCCAGCTTCTCCGACAAGGACACCGGATGAAGCGACCCGAGGGCTGCACACATGAAATGTAGGTTGAAATATTATATAGTTGTTTATGAACCTTAGATATCTGTTTATAATATGTAGGTTTTCTCTGATGGAAAGTTGCTGGAGTTCCGTGCCCTCACACAGACCCACATTTTCCGGCCTTAAAGAAAGACTGGGAACCATGATAGCGGCCACAAACGATGTGCCAGAAAGGCTGAAACAACTGCAGGCTGCCACTGAATCTAAATTAAAGTCCTGTGAGATCCTACAAAAGTGAGCTGACTTTTACAAAAAGTAATATTTTAAGTATTATAATTCTCTCCAATTTTAGTAAAGTGGAACCATTGCCCTGCGAGGAAGAGCCATACTTAGAGCCCTTGAATTAATCTCCATTAGTTTTAGCATATGAAGAATGAGTGCAATACAAGATTGTTGAAGAACCACTTTTGTTCTCGAATTATATATAAATTCTTCCAATTCAGACAACGCTGATAAGCAGATACATAACTCTAAAAGAGAATAAAATTTAAGATAGACTAAGGAAATAACCTTGGTTTTATTTATCAATGGGGAGGCTTTATTTTAAAGATCTCTATAAATTTTTTCAAGCTCATATTAATATTCATTGCCATTTTTGTCATCGATTTTGGGAAACTACTCCTCAGAACCACAATTATTTGGCAACGACTTGCCATTTCAACATGATTGTGCCCACCTGTGGGATAGATAGGATCTGGTTCATTTGGACATTAGGGCATTTAATCGTCATCTTTGTAAATTCCAAATTGAAAGTCGTTCCAAGCTGTCTTGTTTACAGTGCTATCCCATTTCTGACCACCGGAAACGATGTGCATCCACTGCTGCCGCCTCCGCCGGACACCCTGTCCCCCGATCCCCTACAGCTGTCCCCACTGTCCGGTGCGTACCATCTCCAGCTGCTGTCCCCTGGGCAGTCGTCCTTTCGCCGAGAATCCCTTCGTGAGGGGCAGGGATCGGGAGCCACCTCCTGATCCCTGCGACACTTTGCCACCACGCTGGCTGGAGGTTAATCGTCGGGTGATATACGCCCTGGCAAATGAATTGGATAGATCCCCGGAAGCAGCTCATTATATATTGCTACGCCTTCTATATGCCAACTATGGAAAAGTGATGATGATTTCCCGAAAACGAAGGAGCTACAGGGTGCCCCTAAGTGGATTTCCGGATCAGGACCTCTTCTCCGCCAGTAACCTCTTCGATAGTAACGGTTATCTCTCCGATCCCATGGCTCCAGAAACTCTAGGAAAGCTGCTCCACATGACGCAGGACTATATCTTTCGGTTGAGAGCACTGAATCGCAAGTACAAGTGGTTCGGAAATGGTGACGATCTCGGGGAAATTTTACCTCTATTGGGGGAACAAGATGAACTGGTGAAACTGTTGAAAGAACTCTTTGGGGCCAGCGATGTGGTGTCCATTCCAAAACTTCTGGGAGCTCTTAACGAGCTGGAAATCAATAATTTATTCGGCAAGTGGAAGAAGAATGCCGCACCTGGACTCGTGAGAAGCATATCCGATCTCTACTCGGAGGTGACTGAACCCAAGAATCCCATGATGATGATATCATTGTCATCAGCGAATGTAGGCTCTAGAGTAGGTTTTCGAGGGCCATCGCAGATTTCAGTTAAAAGAACTCCGGGTTCAACCAATCTGACGAAGAGCCAAAATCGTAGTATAAATTCCGTTCCTATAACCAGTTTAAAATCTATCCTGATGTCCAGGAAAAAGACGACCCCAACTACCAATATAAAAACCATCCCGATAACCAATATTGGATCTAACCCAACAACCAGTATTGGGATAGCTAATCCAAATCCCAAGCCCAAAAAACATGTTACTCTTCAAGCCAGATCAAACTCCATTAAACCGAAGACCACTTATGTGCAGGCCGAGATGCCGATGCTCTATTATAAACCCTTTGACGCCAAGAATAGCTCCACCTGGCTGTCCCGCCATCCGGACTTAAATCGATTAATGCCGGATGGCCGAATTGCCAAGAGACAAACCCACCATAGAAATCCAGAAGAGCAGAAGAGATTGGGTAGTTTGCGAGGGAGGTTATCTGTGCAAAAGGAAAATTCCGTCGGCAATGCGAAGTTCGGAGATATATGCGGTCAAACGCCCAGAAAATCTCGAAGGTCCACCAAGTCCATTAAATCCTTGCCACCCAAGCAAAGGAAACCTTAGAATCGGTTCAGGCAACCATTGAATATGGCATCTGAACTAAAATATATATTTTGGGCAGATGTCCAATCCAATGGTTGCAATCTAAACTATCTTAAAGTATAACTTAAATAACAAATAATTAAATTTAAATAAATGCGACAAGAACACAAAAATGTTTTCAGCTTCGTTTGACCTTCAACTTATTTACTTAAACCCTAAATAAAGCTCCAGTCATTCAATTTCCGTGAATGTTATCTATGAATAATCACTTGAGCGTTAAAACTGCAACCTCAAAAGCACTAAGGTCATGCGCGCAATTAGTCAGCAATTGGACAGAGCCAGCCATTCAAAAAACTGGATACCCTAATGTGATAAACAAATAAACAAGTACAAACTCTAATAAATTATTGGGTTTCCCGTTTCCCCTTTATTTGCAGTTTTAGACTGCGAATATTAGCAAAGTGAGGGAACACAAAATATATCTAACAAAATAGAGTAGGGTTTTCGAATCCCCAGAAAAACCACAAAAGCTAACAACTAATATTTTGTTGTTTAGGGGTGTACTAATATGCACATATATACATATGGATCTAAGGTAAACGTAAGTGTAGGTCTTTAAGTGGTAGCATCAACGTTCCCACTAGAATTATTTATCTTTGGACTGCATGCGGCACTCGTGGCAATTGATCACGGGATCGGTTTACATCCGTACTAATTGCGATTGTAGCCTAGTCCGAGTATATTACGCGCCTGTAAAAGAGTAGGAAAATTAATGGATTAACAAATGGGATAGATCAGGGGTAGCTCACCGTTATGAACGCCGAATTAAAGGAACGTTGGAACGTGTGTGTCATGCCCTCGGTCTGGGATAGCATCATTTGTAGCTGCACGGCCTCGTCCATTCGGTTCTTGAGAAAATCCCACGTCTGGGCATGACCTGGAGAGGTGTCTTGCAGGAAGTACAGCTCGGTCATCTTCATGATGGTGGCCAGACCCACGCGCCTCGTATACCAACCGAACTGAGGGTGGATGAAGCATTATAATAAATACTAATACAAATTATGAACTACACACATCTACAGAACGATCCCCAGAGTAGTAGCAGATGTCATCCACCAGGGTAAGCACTTGAGCCAGAGCTGTGGGCGCATGCTGCGGCTGGGCTATCAAAGCCATTGCCTGTGGCCAATGAGTTTTGTAGGGCGTGACCATTTCCAGGCGCTGACGTACCGCTTGCACTAAGAAGTCTAGCGGATCCTCCACCTCCTGCTTGCCGCCATCTGTTTTTTTCTGCAGGCTCTCCACCAGTTGTGCGTTGCATTTTCCATTGAAGTGGGAGACCAGAGCGAAGCCACCCTCGGGAAACATGCCATGTACCACGCTGGGATAGCCACTCTCCTCGGCGCCCAGAACGATGGCCTGTCGGGTCCAACCCTGCTGGGGCACATGGTTCAGGGCAGCGTCTAGGATCTTGGCCCGTATGGCATCCACCTTAGCCTGCTTGGCATCGTCCTGTGGGCCGCTTGATTCTGATCCTGTTGCTCCCAGTCCTCCGCCTGCCTCTTTTTGGGTTGCCTTTGCAGCGGCCTCATCTGCCGCATCCCGCTCCCTTTCGCGCTGCTCCTCGCGGGCCCGAAAGTCGTCTAGATTGGTTGTTTTTTCGTCCTTGGCATAGCTCCTTGCCAGAAAAAAAGTCAGTGGTCTCGGCGGCAATGGAGCCAAACGGGAGCTTTGCGCATCTGCAAAAAAATTGGTAGTTTGTAGTACAAATGTAAAAAGGTGGAACATATTCCTGTACGTAGGTGAGATTCTTTAAGAGCCCCCAGATCATTTTACACATTCCCATAAAAATCCGCAACACATTGCAAAAGAACCTATTGCAAAGTCACCTAGTTAAGGTGTTAAGTACGCACACTATGCAGCTACATTTAAATACGCAGATCGCATTGCAAAGACCGTTTCGGTGCCCTGTTAGCACACCACAACTGGCTCAATTAGTCGGTTAATTATCGCCCCCAGCCAAGAACCCCCAAAGCACATAGATCAGTTTAAGTTTCGATTTCGTTTTCGGTTCTGTTTACACACAAAGTTTACGTTATCATTTCGCTTTCATTGTGAACATAATACAAGCTAGGCATCCGATGAAGTGGCGTTCCGACGAAGACGGCTCGATTGTTCGATGATCTCGCTGGCGCGCAGATATAAGGATTGCAGTGTTTCCAGACTGGTAATGGAGCTGGCCAGCACATCGAGCTTCTCCTGGCGTCCAATATCAGGCAGATGGCTGTCCCCGTCGCCGCCGGCCATCCCGCTGTTTGTTATGTTCACGGCTAGCATGTTGAGTTGACGCTGCATTAGTTCATCGTCCGAAGCACTCTGACCTCTTTCCACGCGCTCCTTGTACGCCTTGTAGTGGGCCATTGAAAAGTTCAGTGCCTTGCCCAGGGGATCTAGCAATATTCTTGTTATATCAGGCAGAGCTTGCCAAAATCCAGTCACATCCGCTTTATCCCTCACCGCAAAGTAGCGCAGGATATTCAGAGCATGACACAAGCGATCGGAGTGCAGGAGAAGATCGGATTTGACGTCGTGGGGCAGCACACAGACGCACAGCAGCAACATCTCACGAAACATCTTGCCGCTATAAACCTCTGGAATTGGTTCGGATTTCGATAGTGCCTTATCCACCAGATCCTTGTACATTCCGCCCAGGTAGCCCATAAGTCCGTCGTGCTGCAGCGTCTCCAGCAGATTCTTGAGGATGAGGTACTTTCCCTGGTCATCGAAGCCCAGTATGTACTGACGCAGCACATGAAGTCCCAACTGGCGGAGGGCAACTTGCGGCGAGTAGCCCACAATCTTGCACAAGGCCTCGCAGAAGCGCTTGTGCACATCCAGCTGAAGAGAGGTGGCGGGCACTGGCTCAATCAGGATGCCCAAAAGATGCTCCACCAATCGGAGGCCGCAATACTGCAGTGGTGGCTCCTGCTGCCTGAGCAACACTTCCGCCAGATAAGCACTCGTTTCGAAGAGGAACAAAGGTGCATATATCCTGGGCGCGTTGGCGGGCAGTTGGTTGCCCACGAAGAGCGAATGATAGTACATGGCCACAGCATGCAGCGGCAGCTTCTCCTCGATGAGGAACACATTCCGGCAGCTCATCTCGTAAACGCCCTTCGAGGCATCCAGTTTGCGCAGCCAACGGGCACGTTGTTCCACCAGGTTGAGCAGAAGGAAGGGATCCCCCAGGAATTGGCTGGCATCTTTGCTGAGGCTATCCGTCACCTGCTGCACATAGGTGCGCGTGAGGTCCTCCTTGACGTGGCTCATCTCCAGCAGA